CAGTTTATCTGGATGAGATTCAGCTGGTTTTTTGATAATTAGTAATTAGATTTCATTGCAAAGAAATCTACACTTTTTAAATAAGAAAGTCAAAATATCTGCATATTGTCACAAAGTTCATTCTACTTATTTTTTCAGAAGAGGAATAGCGTCTTGATTGCTATCGACTATAAGGTTGTATGTCATGTTACATGTAGGTACAAGGCTAAACTCTGTCTTTTACTAATGCCGTAGAACATTCTACTTACACTGGAAATATCTATCTACAATCTAAAATCTTGTCGCTTTTCCGAATGTAACAATGAAAAAGCTTACTGTAAAATTTTACAACATTATACGATTCGTACGTTTAGAACTCCTATCCAATCTTGACAGTGGTTTAAAACAACTTTTGTTGTCTAAGGCCCGATTTTTCAATCCTCAGATAGCGAATTTTATCTGTCGAATAACGTTCATTCCATGAATAACAAGATTTTTAATTTTTCGATTGTCAGATTGATGTTATCTGCCGAATATAGGCGGTAACTGGAGAATAAAGTTATCTGCTGCTTCAAGGGATGGTTAAGATTTATTTGTGGATTTATCTAGCTGCCATCTATGAAATTTTGAGGTTGTGTATGTTTTTTAATAAACAGTACCTCTAGCACACGGGATGGCATAATTAACTATTTTGAATCACTAATAACACAATAATGTGAAGAAATCCTGGCTGTTTATTGATTGCTGTATAACTTGTGTTTTAATTTGGAGTAATAAATAAAAATACCTATTGATTATTTCACTTTTTTATTGGCCACTGGCCTAAACAATAATATAAAAATTTACTAATCTTTCCGTTGCATTGTCTTAAGCATCAAATTATGTAACTCTTGTTTCCTGATTTCTTCATTTCGAAGGTGTGTCATTTTCAACTCGTGCTCTTGTTCAACAAAATAATGTTCTTTTTTTGCTTTCTCTTGTTGAAGATGCACAAGTTCTAGTCTCGCAGCAGTTAATTCGTCTATTTATGCAGTAACGCTGGCTTTCGTTGGTTTTAAAACCGGGTTAATTTTACTTTTCAATGCTTTTGGGTTCCATGTGCCCCATTTGTTATAAGAATCTGTAAAAAGTAATAAAAGGTTTAATATATGTACTATGTAGTACTTATATTTTGTGAACTTTGTCCATGTTTGCGATGTATAGAACATGTGGCTGAAGGGATGAAAAGGTTTAACGACACAATTTGTATAATATTATAAAACCTACCTTCACCATTCTCAGTGCCAATAATTGTTGGTTTTGCATTTTGACTGGCGCTTTCATTCAAGTCCTTTTCTAAAAAAAAAAAAGACAAGTTTGTTATGTATTATTATGATGAAGGCAACAAACGGAATAGAAATACCTAATTGTAAAATAATTATAATATTGACTGGCCCGATAGCGGATTAGGTAGTGACCGATAGTGACTTAATATGCACTACCTTTACCTGTGACTTTCTCCATATAAAGACGACGTTCTGTTACAAAACGTGTTTACCTAGCTTAAAATATTTGAATGAAAAAAAGTGTTGTTAACCATAACATCACATCTTTATATAGAATATATTGTATTTATCGTTTTCTTTTTTTTTGAATACAACTTACGAAAATTTTTGAATACAACATTTGACAACGCAGTGTTAACTATACGAAATAAACGTTATATGTGTGGATACAACCACTTACGGTGAAAATAAATGTTACATAGGATATAATAGTAGTTTCTTGATTTTGATAATATTTAATATTAGTGCCCTCTTGTGGCGAGTGGTGGTACTACTACGACTTGGTCGATTTTGTCGATTGAACTACCGCTTTGAGTTTAGCTATCCGCTAACAGATGTCGCTGGTAAGTCAATTTCTAGGGAGATGACTAGCAGTTTTTCTATAGTTAACCTAAATAATGTCTATGAATTTTTCACTTGAATTCAGTTCCACACCCACAGAAACGCCCAAAGTATCTTTTACTAACTGTTCTTGTTTTTTGATAGGTTCTTAACGTTTAGCACTGTACTGTATTTGAGCCATAATATAGGGATTAAACAGAGAGTGTTTATTCTACTTACACTGGAAATATCTATCTATCTAATATCTTGTCTAGGAAGTACCCATGCCCCACGCTTTTATTTTAGTCTAGTCTGTGCATATGTTTATAATTCCCATGACTGTATCTATTTTATTATTTTTTAGTTTTTAGTACATTTATCTTAAACATTGCAATGTATGTTTCACGTAAAACCGTTTAACTTATAAAGTTTTTTTATCTATTTTTATTTTCTAGTTTTTAGTTTTTATTACGCATTCTGTTTAATTCATTTGTGCTTCATTATTGCAAGGTTTCTTGCCCGTTAGTTTATTGCAGTCCAACTCCTCTAAAAAATTATTATCAGCCATTTGGTAGCGGCGGCCATATTAGATTTCAATTTAGCATAGTAAATTGTATTCTACTTGTTGAGACCTTTCATTTGATACCCATATTGATGGGATTAATAAAACATAAATTATCCGCCATTTTGTAGCGGCGGCCATCTTGAATTTATAATGATAATAAATAAACATAATTGTATTGTCACCAAAATCCAAAGTGTATACAAAATTAGATCTGATTAAATACAAAATTAGAATCAGATTAATCGGTTGACAGGAAGAGGGTGAAATTTGAATTACTAAATTTGACCCAAGAAAAATGAAAAATGAAAAAAGAATAAATAATAAAACAAACAGAGTGAGCTAAATAAAACCATTCAATAAACAAATATTGTAAATCATATTACACATATAAATAAAGCCATGCCATGAACCCGGCACCCGCACGTTTAATCCATGGTATGCTGAGAAGTTTCATCTCTGGTTGCTAATTGTTAGGTAAAGCGATAAAGTCCTATGAGATTAATACCGTCTTGAGAGGAGAAAATCACCCACTTTATGTCTTCCTGTTCCGTTGAACTTACGAGTACGTTTAGTACATACCATCACTACTTATAAATACACGTTTTATTAAAATAGATTCCCTGTTTGAATACGATATCAAAAAATACATACTATTATTGAACAGTTCTACGACCTGACAGTTGACAACATCTAGTATTGTATAGTATTTTATGAAAATAAATGTTAGAATAGCACGCGTGTACCTCATACATCTGTAACCACAAACAGTAGCCAATGCATTATACGGTATTATGTTGTATCAGGCATCAACTATATTATGTAATAATGAACACATTTTCAATTCTGATAATAAACGTTTACATTTATCGATAGATATAATTATTTAATTAATTTGATATTTAACTATTTTTGTTTTCGAGAAATAAAATATCTTTTTCAATAGAACACGGACTTCAGGAACCAACAGCATAATTTTATGAATTTTTAATTAATATTTTTATTACATTTCACATAAATCTTATTATTCAATCTTACTCCAATCCTCAAAAGTATCAATTACACCGGTGGATTATGGATTATCAAATAATTTTGAAATTCACTTACTCAGATATACCTACACTATACTCAAATGAAAGTATATATAAAATAGTCTTTAATTATGAATATTAAGATGAGGCAGTGATCGATAAACCTACATATCGCTATAAAAAAACCTCACACAATGTAATTACGTCTTATCCACGAAAATAGTAAAATTAAAAGTCCAAGGGCATGCAGTCAAGTTATAAGAGGAGCGGCCGTCTTGAAGCGTGGTAGATAACTACTGGGCAATAAAATAAAGACAAGACAACAAACTGACAACTATATCATAACGTTAATGTGTCTACACTTATTACGTGAAACTAAATATACGATGTATTTAGGGAACACACATTTAATTTGAACCGAACCTTTAAAAGGAGGCTTTATAAAACAACTACATTTTTTCATGATTTTGTTAGAATCCGAAATATATATAACTACTTAAGCTAATTAACTATAGATCTAACACTAAATTATAGTAAATAAATTTCTTACATCTATCGATACTATATTTTGCTTTAGCTAGCGGAAGATAGGATATGACTAAAAGTAGGACATTGTGCTTTAAAAATTGTAACCAATAAAATCTTAATAATTTTGGAACATAGAATTGTTGAGATGAAAATTTAAGCTAAACTGTAAAACGTTTTACTCTCTCAGTGTATATAAAAGTGCTAATCAACAGGTGCATTTTAGCGGTGTAGCCACGGGCGCCGCCGCCATGTTCGGAAACGGAAGTTATAAACCATCCGGTGACTTTTGATAAGAGCTCATGTGAAGCTGAGCTGTTAATGTGCGGCCATTACGTGCATGTAAATATTACGCGCTCTGTACGGTACATACTACACGCTTACACTCTATCAGTGTGTTTGAAGAAGCTTCATACCTATTACACTATATTTAATATTATAAATGGAAACTATAAACTCTGCGACCAAACGTAATAGAAGAGAGTTGGCTAATAAAATTGTTACTACTGGGATGTACACAAAATGAATAATTAAGTGTAAAGCTATAATTATATTATATGTATAAGTACTTTTATTTTTTTAATAAGTACTATTATTTATTCGAAAGTGTTAGCGGCCTGTGACAGAGGATTTTTTAGATTTTTTTTCGTGTTAAGACTCAAATATGTTCTTTTATTTATTTATTTATTTATTTGTTCTTAAGAATATGTAGATATTAAAAATGTAAACTTTCACTTTTTTACGTTCCAATTCATTTAAAGTATCAAGAGTAAGTTTTATATATATGACATCTGACATCTTGACAGATGACAAGTGACGGATGTTAAGTTTATATATTTTCTAAGATAGTTTCTAATTTTCTATTATGTATGGTTTATGATGGTTAGAAAAGAGCGCGGGAATTGAAACGTTGACGCGGGCTTTTTGAAAATTTTAATTATTTTAAATAGTTATATAATATAATTTGCAAATTTTTGTTTAGTTTATTGTAACGAAGTAAAACTTAATATGTATATATGTAAGTGTTTATATGGAGAGATGGTGAAAAAACGTAAAAAGAAGGATTCGGGTGAGTCCTTAAATTTCAGCACAAGCAGCGATTCCGATTGCGAGGATTCGCCAGTATTGCAGGATGCAAATGCCTTCGCTCCCTTTAGGGTCGCTGATTATTGTCGGCGATACTCTGAAGATGCGGAAGCCAAGTCTGAATTCATAGTATTTGTCGAAAGTACTAATGATGTCCCACTCGGTAATAGGGACATGATGTACTAGAACTAGTTTTATACGCTCTGTGAAAGGTATACTATATTTTAAAAAAATAAATAAATATAAGGTCGGTGTTGTATTCGAGCGTTCGAATTTGGCAAATGCCTTTTTAGAAAATACTACATATCTAAAGGAACAACGACTTAAAGCTTCAATACCAGCAGGGGCTACCGAACTATCGGGAGTTATCTCTTCGGTTCCCACTCATCTATCCAATCACGAAATATGCAGGTATATAAAGCAATATCAACAACAAAAAAAGTCATTTCTCTCCGACGCATAATGCGTAAAGTAAAAGGAGAAAATAACACCTTCACACTGCAACCTACTCAGAGCGTAATAATAACTATGTTCACATTAAGATGTGGCGCCTGCCTGTCTCCACATATGTCCCACCTATAAAACAGTGTTTTAAATGTTTACGCTATGATCATCTGGCTAAGTTTTGTAAAAATTCACCGCGATGCTCCATATGCACAGAGGGGCATTCTTTCAAAGAATGCAAGGTTAACATTGAAAAAGCTAAGTGCATTAATTGTAATGGCAATCACATTGCCATCTCTAGCCAGTGCCCTATAAGACAAAAGAAAATCGCAAACAGTAAACCCAAGTCATATGCTGACACGTTAAAAGATTCATTAAATTTTCCCTCCCTTTATAAAAAATTAAATACCCAAGAAGTAATACAAGCAATACTATCAAATTCTGAAACTATGACTATTAACAGAATTTATAGTAAAAGTTATAACTTTAAATAAAACTCAAAATATAAGTATTAGTTCACAATTTATTAGCTCAACTATTAAAGAAACCATACAGGATAAAAATAACAAATCGTCACATTCAACCACCAAATCTTAAATATTGTACAGTGGAACGCTCAGTCTGTTAAGTAACAGACTTGAGTTTAAAAAAAAAATTATACAAAAATAATAAACATGTAGCTCTTATTTCAGAAACTTGGCTCAAGCCTAACATTCAATTTAATTTACGTTGTTATATCATTATTAAGAATGACTGCAGTAATGATCATAATGGCGTAGCAATATTAATTAAAAACGCTATACATTTCTCTAAACAAGATACTTTTTATGATGATTCGTTACAAAATGTAGTAATTATTATTAAAGTGAAACATTAATGCATTTCTTTGGTTAGTGTTTACAATTCTGGTAATAGTTTTCCTGCTTTTGAAAGGGCGAAGTTCGATCGTTTATTGTACAGTATTCCAAAACCGTTGATAATTGCAGGTGATTTTAACGCCCATCATACTTTTTGGGGTTGTAGTCGCATAGATTCTCGGGGCAGAGCTATTATGGATTCCATGGATGACAATAACTTAATACTTTTAAATAATGGTCAACCAACAACTATAGGTTCTCTTATTTGGAAACCTAACAGTCTAGATTTAACTATGGAGTCTTCTTCTTTATTTCTTTCTTGTGACTGGCAAGTTCATCAGGACCCTTTAGGCAGTTATTATTTGCCAACTATCACAAAATTTACTCTCGTAAGAGATTAACATGAACCCTCTATTCCCTTGAACAACATTCCTTTTCACAGCAATCTGAAATTAGTAAATTGGGATAGTTATGACAAATTGTTAATAAAATATTAATGAACTTTAAAATTGACAATAGTGATCTCCATGACTCATACAGAAAGTTTTGTTCAATTATTCTATTGGCAATCAAATTCTCCAGGCCCAGCTTAAACCATAACACAACTGATAGTAATAATAACCGTCCTAGAAAAAGGTGCCAAGTACCTTGGTGGAATGATAAATGTTCAAAAGTAGTAGAAGACTGCAAGAACGCCTACATTAATTTCAAAACTAGTCTTAATAGTAAAAATTACATTAATTTCAAACGCGCACAAGCCTTTAAAAAACGCACTTTAAAAGAAGAACGTTGTAAAAGTTGGTCTGCATTCTGCTCATCAATAAATCGTTTGATATCTATAAATCGCATTTGGACTAAAGTAAATTCAAAAAAAGCTTTCCGACTTCTAACTTATTTTCTGACCTCAATTGGGTTCAAACATTTTTATATAAATACACACCGGATACTGTTCCACAACAGATAAGTATAGATAATGTTCTTGGAGTAAATAGTGATAATTCATACATGATCGGTTGTTTTATTATGCAAGAGTTAAAATCTGCTTTAGCCTCAAGAAAAGATTCTTCATGTGGCCTGGATTGGCTTTCCTACAGGATGTTTAAACTTTTAAATGTTCAAACTCTATCTATTTTTTTAAGTTTATTAAATAGTTTATGGACGTCTTCTATTGTCCCAGAGGATTGGAAAACTGACTGTTTGGTACCAATATTAAAACCTGGCAAAGACTTTAATTTGGCTGATTCTTATCGTCCTGTAATAGGAGTGTGTTGGAAAAACTTTCCAACAATTAATAAAACAGAGACAAATTTTTCACATAGAAAGTAATAATCTTTTACCTCACAATCAGTTTGGCTTTCATTGTGGCCGTTCTGCTTGTGAGAGTCTCTGTCTGGATATCCACGATGCTCGTTCCGAGAATAAAGTACTAGTTGGTGTTTTTGTTGACATTGTAGGGGCTTTCAATAATGTAGATCTGGACAAATTATCTTCAATATTATTATTACTGCGGGTACCTGGAAAAGTTGTAAATTGTATTTTTAATTTGTTGAACTACAGAAAGGTGTTTGTTAAGGTCAACAATCAGTTATTTGGTCCAAGATATTCTTGTAGGTGTGTATCACAGGGTGGTGTATTGAGCCCATTGCTTTTTATCCTATTCATACATCAGCTAAATTTAACTCTGGGGTGTGAAGTTTCTAATCTGCAGTTTGCAGATGATTTACAAAGATGTACAAAGTGTACAATCAGTCCTCAATGTAGCTCTCCTAAGACTAAAGAACTATTTTGATAGCCTTCGGCTGGAGGTCAGCAATGAAAAAAGTTTTTGTCTTTTGAAAAAATGGAATTAGAAATAGGAATGTAAATATTTTGTTCAAATTTAATGTAATGTCTGTAGAGAGCTCTGTAAAGTGTTTTAGGTGTTATTTTTACAAACAATTCTAGATGAATAAGTATGCTGAAACTCTAGAATCTCAAGCTTTAAATGCTTGTAATGTTTTAAAATCTTTAACTAGCACATATTGGGGTGCTGAACCAAGTATTCTATTAACATAACATTGTATAATTCATTAGTAAAGAGTCATTTTGAATATGCTTTTTTTTGTTTTGCAGGGGTAAGAACTATAGTAGATAAATTAGAAAAGATACAAAACAAATGTTTGCATATTATAATGGGTTCCAAGCGAACTACTCCCATAGTGTCAATGTAGGTGGAATGTAATATACCTCCATTAGCACTTAGGTTTAAATACTTACAATCAAAATTTATTGCAAGGTTGCTCTCCGTCAGTAATCATCCACTTCTTGTTAAACTGCGGGACACTATTAACAGGACTGCCAATATTAATTCATATTTGTTTCAAGGTTTTTCTGAAACAGAACAAATTTTTAATAAACACAATATATTTTCTAGCATGGTATAGCCTTGTTACTCTGGGTTATAAGAATCAAAAATTATTCAGATAAAAATTGTAGTCAAGAGTCTTGTAAAGTATAAGGAAGACATTTATAGGGAACTTGATAGGTGGCAGGGATATCATCAGATATACAGGGTGACTGGTGAATTACTATCGATACTTGAGGACGTGATATTTGACGATCATATATGACGAAATAAAAATTAATGTAGCATAAATATAAATAAACTTCTAAGTAAAGTTAACCAAAAGTTGTGTAATTAATTACGCATCGTATGAACACCCTACAGATTAAGTATACACACACACACACACTCGCGCGCTTCGGCGTAGTGTTGTATCAGCACGCCGCCGCGCGCGCCCACACTTGGAACACTTGGAACGAGTCCACACTTTATTTATTTATACGGAAATTTGATCAAAAATTAAGTACCTATTCTTTTTAACATAATTCGAATGAGAATCATGTACCTAGTATGCTCCTTAAATATTGATAGTAATTCACCAGTCACCCTGTATACAGATGGGTCTAGGAACAATGAAGCAGTCTCTATAACTGTCTATGATAGTCAGATCAAGGGTGGATTTGGTCATAGGCTGAATTCACTCACAAGCATATACTCCGCGGAATCCAGCATATGTATGTATATACTGCTATGGAGCACATTCAAACACAGACTCATCAAAAGTGGATTATAATAACGGATAGTTTAAGTTTATTGACAGCACAACAAAATCCACAATTAAATTCAAAAACTAACTATATTATATATAAAATAAGAGAGTTTTATCATCTGCTGTCTCAAAACAAGCAAATAGTCCTATTCTAGAGCAAGCAGACTATTTTGCTAAATTTATTACAAATCCGGCCCACAATCAAGTACCATTCTTCCTCGTTTCTTTTAGAGTTTCTGATTGAATGTTAATAGATTGTAATTTTTACTGAATTAAACACTGCCATTCTTATATTACATAAAAAACTATAAACAACTTTTTTTGGTTTGTAGTTATGCAATGAAATTATAATCTCTGCATATTTAGAACACTTTGTTTTTGTTTTACCTATGTAAAGAAGTGACAAAAGTAGTTATTTTTCAATACTGTTTGTAGGAACTTTCTCTTATTTATATAAAAAAGGTAATAAAGAGGGCACATTATAAATCTATCAAACCACATGTAAGTATATAAAAATGTTAAGATGACTTGTATACCTATTTCATTATATTCAATTAAATCATTATTTTTTGTTTATAATTTTTAATTATGAGCACCAATTTCTAAAGTAAAATAATAATAATGTATATTATCATCTATAGTTATAAAATATTTCTAGTTTTCTTTTTATATTAATAGTATGTATTGTGTGCCTATAACTACTTGGGAAGTTGCTTACTTTAGATACTTACTTAAGTATAGTGTTGGTACAGCATTTTGAGTGAGTTGTTTACTTGAAGAATGGTAAAACTGT